AAAGCTGAATAAGGTTCTGGAAAGACATTATTTTTACTAGACTTTTATTCGAAACTAAATCAGCAACATATTTGTGTGTAAAAATAACACACTACTACAACATGAGTGAGTAGTAAGATAACTCACTAACCATTTTTTTAAAAAGCATATAGAACTGGGGAATCAGTCATCTATATATATATATATATATATATATATATATATATATATATATATATATATATATATATATATATATATATATATATATGAAATTGTTTGATGACAGATCATCTTAAAATACTGATTAACAGTAGTTGATCGGTAGAATTCAATAAAGACTATGGAATATAAGAAACAGTGTAAACATCTCAATTTTGACCCGAAAAGTTCAGTGGACGACTCATCTGAGAAGCAGGAATCTACACAAGATTACAGATGCTCCCAATTAATGAATACAAACTAACATGAAACGTAGGTTCGGAGATTCATGCTGACTCCAACACCCCTAACACTGAACACCGGTTCAAACGATTAACATGATGTACAAAGATTCAATAAATAATTGTATGGTCTGACTATGTAAAGTATATGAGGTTTTATTTCACTTGATATTGTTTTACTTGAATCTTCCCATTGATGTTTTTGGACTGAAATTGATCAGTCTCTTATTGGCATATGTGCATACTGTGCGTATGCCTCGATATTGCCTTAATTTACAAGCATTATAAGCTAGGTGGATAACGCGATGGCGTTTGAAGCGAACGGTACTGAGTTCGAGTCCCAGAGTGAACATCAACTCTGAGATGCAGGTACATCCAGCTGACGAATCCCAAACAGGACGAAACGCGCGTCCTGGATTCCACTGCTAGCCACTATCCATGCTTGCTTATACGAGGTTTTGTTTTTCTTTTAGCACAACAAACCATGAACACTGGGAATTTCAATTATTCTGGGATTAACTGGAGTACCGGTAGTTGTCGGTCATGTAATGATGAGTTCTCGGCAACCATTAACATGTATTGCTGGTCACAGTGGGTTCGTACCCCAACTAGAGGCGATAGTATACTCGATCTAATATTTAGTAGAGATGTTATCCCACTATTTGTAAAAGTATACGATGAATTTGAAAGCAGTGACCATAAGATAGTAGTTTGCGCTCTCCTTATCTATCCCTCTTATAATCGACCCATTCAAAAAACCTGTCAATATAGAGACTATAAGCACGGTGACTGGGACCTCCTGAATTCACTGATTAAACTTTCAGACTGGGATAACCTTTTTCATGTAATAGTCTCATGGATGCTATCAACGAATTCTATCTGATCGTTAACTCTTGTTTAGATTCCTGTGTACCTCTTAAAACGTACAGGTTTAGTAAACCTTACGAAATATATAAACCACCTAAATATCGTAATAAGCTAAGACGCTATCAGAATCGTTATTTTAAGTCAAACGACTTCACGGAAGTTGCACAAATAACAATAATTTTTAATCAAATTAAAGAGAAACATAGGTTAAAAGCCATTAATGAGGAGATACTAGCACTTAATACTAACTCAAAGGTACAAAACTTAACTCTCCTTTTCAATAAACGCGCTAAAGCAACTCAAAATGTTGATATACCATGTATCCAGCACTTTTATATACGACTCTAAAACTATAGCAGACCTTTTCAGTAGTATTTTTGCGAACGATGTAGGAGTCATAAATGACTCTGCTTCAAGAGTTATGTGCGTGACTAGCAACTCAATAAAATCTATCTCCTTCACATGCATGAAAATTAATAAGGCTATAAATACCCTTAAGCTTTCGAGGGGTCATGGGGCAGACGGGATTTCATCCAAATATGTTGGTCCAGATATTCCACTTCTTCTAAAGCTGTTTAATCTCTCTATGGAAATCGGTTCTTATCCTTACTGTTGGAAAACTGCGTACATTATATCACGTTACAAATCTAAAGATAAGACTGACATGAACAATTATCGGCCGATAAATATTACTCCAGTCATCTCTAGGATTATAAAAAAAATCATAAGTGATGAACTTTCCAACTATTTACTCGCTGGAAAATTTATCGATGATACTCAACATGGATTTCTTAAAAATCGATCTTGCATGACATGTCATTTTGATTTCTTTAATTTAGTCTATTCTCTACGTAGCTAAGGATTTCTAGTCTTAGTGCTATATGTGGACATTTCTAAAGCCTTCTACATGGTCAGCCACCAACTTCTTATAGGTAAACTCGCATCTTATGGGGTTCAAAATCCCTTGCTAGCTTGGTTTGATTCCTTTCTAAGCAATCGACATCAAATATTTAAAATTAACTCTTCATTGTCTAACGCCGTCCCTGTTAGAAGTGGTGTAATACAAGGTAGTGTCTTAGGCCCTTTGGTCTTTTTAGTGTTTATTAATGATATTTGTGAAAGTTTTCGTTTGGATAAGCCCTTTCTATATGCAGATGATCTTAAAGTAGTATATTCACTTTCTCCACATGAGCTGGAAAATGTGCAAAATTGCATCAGCATGGAGTTTAACAAGGTAGCGCAGTGGTGCTTAAAATGGCAACTGGAGCTTAATACGGCTAAATGTGGATAGATATGCTTCGGCTATACATCACTCAACTTAGACCTTACCATAAATGGTTACATACAGTAGTAGATTTAGATACTTCCAAGACTTGTCGTTTACAGAACAGATATTGAAACAGACCCCTAAGTCTCAACACCTTGTACGTCACATAACTCGAAACCTTTATAACAATGAGTCACGTATTTTAATGTACAAAGTTTGTGTTCGACCACTTCTAGAATATTGCACGTTTATTCTTAGCAGTGCGCGCATAAAGGATAAATTAAGGCTGGAAGCAGTACAGAGCTGATTGTACCTTATAATTCTAGATATAATAAACTTGGACTAGACCCTTTATGGAAGAGGAGACTCAAACTAAATCTTATCTTTTTCTTCAAACTACTAAATAAACTATCCTTTACATCCACTCACGTGATTCAGTATGCAGAAACTTCTCATTATGACATTCGTAATTCCTTGGCACTAGTGAGACAAACTTATTATAAATCATCTCTTTATATGAATTACTTTACCTGTAAATTTTCTAGACTCTGGAATAACCTACCACAATCTATTCGTACGATAAAATCACACCCATTATTTGTTCGCTGCATCGATGCATACTGCTCCTCTGAAAATGCATTGAATGTTCTAGCACCTGTAATTGTATCTCATTTCACAAGTGATATTATAGGAACTTTAAATGTTTAGTCATTTTTATTAGTGTATTCCTTAAATAAAACCACCTACTTGCTGTCACTTTATGTTAACACCGTCCCTAGCAAGTTTAACTAATTTGAATAATATCAACAGTATATCACTGTGTCACATGACATATGCATTTAGATAGACCTGATTCATATATTTTGGTAATTACTGCTTTGTTGTTCCGTGCTCCCTGTTTTCGTTTTAATTTCTCTAGTTGTAGATAATTATCATGAATTCGATCTGGCACATGAAATGACTTTAATTACACCATTCACAAATCAACAGGCTGTCCATTTAAGAAAAATTAAAAGTTCCTGGCTGATGCATTAGGTCGCTGTAATACATGTACTACCTAAACAATTACTGAACTAGTATACTTAAAACTAACTTATATCACACGTTTGTTCTCTACATCTAATGTTACTGTTTATGTCAAATTGATCATGCCTGTAAACTGGCGTGAATTCTGTAATTATTATTTTCAGAATATATAAAATTATTATTAACATTCTGCTGGTCAACCGAAGGTAAATGATTTTCGACAATACAATGAAAATAGGCGTTAAACTTTAAAAAAGGCCGGTCGATTTCAACGGGAAATAGACAACTATTTTAATAAAAAACAAACGACCATTAATCGTAAAATATATTAATGTATAAGCCGTATTCCTTAAAATGTCTTAATAAACTTGAATAATCTGTATAAATAAATTTACTGTCTTTCATTCCTACGTAACGCCCAGTTAATTAAGGATATTCCACCACACTGTTTTCCAGTATATTAGGAAAAGAGTTGAGTCAGTATATTGGATCGGACAAATCAATTATTATATGAAGAGAATTAGGAAATATATTTATGACAACTCCTCGCAATCATGATGAAATAATTCTATATTCATTTACAAGGATAAACACGTTTGCTCTCTGAAAGCATACTTTCATATAGTTAACAATTATAGTCACAATTCTGGTACAGAATAAAAATGTCTTTAAGTAAAATTCTAATTACGTTTCAATAAACTTACATCAGTTCAATCAAGATATTTGGTGACCAATGGTTTATACAATCCACTCTATTTAAAGATTGTTTACAACAAGCTAAACGAAGAACGCTGAAATAGCTTTAGCTTAAGACATGTTGGTGATCTATAATTTCAACTTTACTACCTTAATTATTATGTTTATTTAATATCTAAAAAAATACCACAATCGAAATTGTGCAGCAATTCTTTTTGTGGAGCTTTCAGGCAGACTTCTACCTGAAGTTTGTGCTGGTGTCGTTCAGAAGAACGATGAAAGCTCCACGACCGAACCATCCAGCTCAGAGAGCAAATCTCCATCAAAGAGGATAAACGAATGCCGGGAATAAATGCATCCAACGCCACCCATATTTGGCTTCTTATTACCGCCGTCATACAAATGGGGTTGGCCTAGGTAATATACAGAGTTAAGTGGAAAATATATACTCATGGGATATTCATACGTTCATTCAGATTGGAGTCAGATCAGTTGACACCACAAAAGTGGTGAACCTTATCGTCCGACCCAACTGGCGTCAAAATAAAGGCACCACAAAAAAATTATCAGGATTTATTTGCAAAAAGCTACACGATTTTACACAATCACTTGCACATATATAACGGTTTCAGTGTCAATTGACAGTACACCTTTGGCATATTTGGTCGACAAAAAGAAGCGTACTAAGAATTTGCAATTTGTCCTCCCCAAAATGAAACACTTTAGGCTTGTTTGTGCTTCCCACCAGTCCATGATTTTTTGGAAGCTTTTTTGCGTGGTTGACTTTTTGAAGGAGTACTGACGGAATTATTTACAACTTCTTTTTTGACATGTAGTGATGCTAATCTAATTGGCACTAATTCCATAATTAATCCAACTAGTAATGCTAAGTGGCATAAATTTAGTAAACCACTACTCAAAATTGTTGATGGATAAGTGTTCCAACTGATTTCAATAAGACCAAGAATTAATAGCCTAAAAAATGAACAATCACAAGGGAGTAGACAAGTGTATAGAAAAGATCATTGCATTTGAAACAGAACACTGTAGTTTCATCCGGTTGGTTATATATATATATATATAATAAAATAGATTTGTTCGAAAAATCAGGCGGTTTTAACAGACGATAAATAAAAGCAACCTGGCTCTGGTTTAAAGAGGACTCATGGTAATTAGCTTATATGACAGCTTCTGAGCGGTCTACTTTCCAACTACAAATATTATGATAAATTTTATTGTTTTGGACTTGTTTTACGGCTGAACAATCATGTATATTAATGGAAGGTACTTGTAAGATTTTAGAAAATATGATTCAGGTCCATAATCCTAATGGTGGATAACACAACATAATAGATTTTTAGCCACTGGTTTCCTCGGGAAATCTGTTGAGTTCGGCAGAACCACTGAGTGCGGATAAGACATTACATAAGGGATACAAATCAGATAGTGGTCATGAACTTGAGTTAACTGGAATGATTGAGACATTGTCTGATGATGTCTGTTCCCAACCTATTTTGGCCGCAGTGAAAGAAGGATGGTCTGAGCTCTAGAATTTAGAACTAGACATAATGCAAGTCTACGAAGTCACAATATGATTGGTTTGAGATTTATAGAGATGTAAACTTGGTCGATAAAATCGTTAAGGAAGTCATTTTGAAAGCTGTGTTGAAGAAATCAGTCCCTTTAACTGACAGAAAGACTAGAAAACAAGTTATCAGAAATATATAAGTGAGAGAATATAGGGAATAAGAAGTATAGATTAGTAATGAAAAACACGGCTAAAAATGTCATTGCTTACTTCACAGGAGTGGAAAAACGTCTAACACACCACAATAAATATGGAATTGTATGAAAATACCAAACGTAGAATTGGTAATGCAACGAACGGCTGATAACAATACCAACAAAATTGCATACGAACATAGGATATAGAACAGCTGGATTTTAATCAAAAGAATCAAAACCGAAGAAAAAAGAGACAATAAATATTGACAGTTCTTAACTAGATTAAAATCCAAGTGCCAGAAAATCCTAACAGAGAGATGTCCCCCATCTACCTGAAAATCGAACTAATATAACCTCACCCTACATAATATTTGGAGAAATTCAAAACATGAATCTGTACTTTTCAAGTGAAAATTATAGCCGTTACACTCGCATTATTTTCTTATCCCATCTAAAAATAAAAACAGACAAATTAAGCGATTTCCTTACTAGGCCTCTGTTAGTCAAATCTATCTTGAGTCAGTGATAAAACAAGGGTGCCTTAGCCAAAAGAAGCTGAGTGTATTCGAATATATAACCCGATAATTATCAGGTAGATGCAGATCGAGTATCGCTAGGAAAAATGACAGCCTTTGATATCAATTGGATTGACGAGCAGTAAGAAACATTCACTGAAATAAAAAGTAAGTTAACTATATTACAACACACATTTTTAGCTACAGAATCAGCTCATATTTCAAAAACTAGTATCTTTTTACAATTGATTCCAGTAAAAATTAAGACAAAATAGGAATGAGTGTTTTTTCATTTAAATTTGGTTCTTAGTTCTCGAGGAATAGATCTAATGTTTATAGAAGTCACAAGAAGGATGAAGAAGCCTCCAAACTAGGAACGGTGGGCAACTACCATAAAATATTATGCAGTTAGTCATAATAAAAGCGTGCTTAAAACACAATTATTGCAAAAACTATGAATGTGTATCTTCAAATTCCCAGATAAACAAGACGCACTAGATATTACCTGCGGGATCCAACTTTGAATCACGTTCAGGGTCAAATATACAGAAATAATTTTTCATCCCACCACGAGAGCTACAAAGGTGATAATGAAATATTGTAGTATAATATTATAACGAATATAATTTTAAATGAGAGATATATCACTGAACGTAACAGATAGTTATGCCACACCAAAACCTAAGCGTTTTACCTAGCTTAAAAGTTCCGGGATAACCATCATCAACGATAGTTATATATGTATATATAAGCCAGGGAATATTTAGTTTCTAGCAAATATCCTTTCAAATCTTGATTATTACATATAGATGTTTGCACGTAACTAATTTAAGAGACTTAGCCTACAAGACCAATCTATTTATGTTTTTGTAAAATATATCTGCAACATAACTGACTATGAATTCTTTACACTTAGAATGAAAAGCATGGATATGTGAAAAGTACTGTTACTGATATGTTGCTTGTATGCATGATTCTCTGACATTTACTACTATGTTTTTGGAGTTTTTCTGAAACCATACTTTATACCATGAAAATAATTGTATTTTTTGAATATATCGCTATAGGAAAGTTGACTAGAAAGCATTAAAAACAGAAGCACCTGTCCCCGTCATGATAAAACTTGCACTGTAATAGCAAATGTGCTGATAAATCACCGCTTTTAGACACAGAGGCGGCTAATGTAAGTAATACATGTAAAAGATGTTACAATAAATCAGCTACACAAGCGGTACTCGGGTTTGCTTGTCATCGAATTCCGAAACTAGTTTTTTTCCAAAAAGGATGTAAAAAATATGAAACCAGAAAAGGAAGTGTACAACCGATCTTAGATATCTTTTTATATTAAGCACTTAGATACCTTTCAAAATCTTGATTCGATATGAAGTTCAAGTCAGAAAAATAACATTCTCATCATTAACCCATGTTGAATGTGTTAAAGCCAAGATACTAATTATTTTGATCTTGGATGTTATATACATTTAATAAAATGGAAAGTATCAGAATGATCAGGTTGAAGGTTACCAAAATAGGAAATCATTTGATCCCCATATAAACGGTGTAATGGTCAAATTTTTGAGAGGTGCCGTTTATTTCCATTGTTTAAGCTAATCATTTACTAATTGTGCTACACTTTTTCGACTTTGATTTTTTGCAGTACCCATTTCTCTAGTGTGGGGGCCAAAATATTGTATATTCTGGAAATGACGTCGTCTGTACTGTTTAGTCAAATAATGCATATGTGATTGTCAAATAGAAGCCAGTTAAGAATAAGATTAACTTATATTTATGCTTGAATGAACTAATAATGAAGTGATTTTTATAATAACCACAAAGCAAGTAACGTGGAATTTCGACAGTGACCTGACTTCAATAAATATCAGTCGTCTACTTATGAGAAAGCTGACATAGTGATTTATACATTTTCTGACAAAAAAGGAAAGAGTCCTTTCAGCTGAAAGAGGTAGGATTGAATTACCAATAAAAATATCCACGTCTAACATGTTTAGTTTTATGAAAATATATATGATTAGTGTAGTATTTTGAATATGTAAAACAGGATAAACCTACCGAATAAACTTCCAGAAGAATACGAACAACATACATAAATGCAAGATTAGTAGAATCATATGAAATCGCCTATCCAAAAATACACTTTCTGGTAGAAATCTCCAGTTGACTGTCCATATATACATAAATTGACGACCGAAATTAAATGCACTGCTAACGTACGCCCATGCATTGTGGAATAGAAAAGGTGTACCTACGGCCAGCTGAAATACATAGAAATTTATAAAAATCAAATGGTGGCATAAATTATTCAATATGCTAGGTTATAATATCCAGGTGTTCATTTAAGTAGCTAGCTATATAGACTTAAAGGCATAACGATGACACAGCTGGCCACATTGACTTCGGAAAAATTGTAAGATCTGATGACGAACAAATGGACGAAAGATTTCTTAATGTTGTGGAAATCCTATTCTACTTTCTAGTAACTAAAGATGATTTAGATTCAACTAAAAACTCGAGTAAAATTTCTTAGTCTATCTGTTAGATCACTTGATTTGTTGGCGTGAGACCTTATTGACCTTCCAAGGTCCGGACTATCGATTAACAGAAAACAAACCTAGTGTGTAGTTAATGAACAACAAACTACAATATGAAAAGCATTAGCGCCAAAATTTCACCGCAGAGAATTGAACATGATGTTGAAAAAGCGTTTAAATAACTTCATCAACAAAAACAGCTTTATATGTTGTCCTAACCATCTTACTGCCAAGCACTATGCGGTGTACCAGTTCTGAAAATCTGGACTGTAGTTTCCGAACAATGTTTACAAATAAGATGAAGACGATACAAATGAAGATAGATGTTATTAAACAAAACACTACAACTCACTTGAACGATGAAACACTCACACAGGTGACCTATTGTCTCCAAAATTCCCTTGTGCCATACCAACACAATTAGGAAACCAGGAAGGAACAATAATATATTCATTTTCACCGAAACACCAAGACTATTCGAAATAAAAAATACTAATGAAAGTAAGGGGCGAGGGATGATGAATGTAACAAAAATTTCATAAACTTAATGGTAATACCTTACATCACAGCACTGAATACCATTCTTTTAACAAATACAGCTCAGCAACCATGTATAAGTGAATGCATAGATGTGTATAATTCAAGCGGTATATGAGCCAAAAAAGTGACAACTTTCCAAACCAAAGTCTCTTTTATTCAAACGATGTACATATGCTTGACGACAAAATATATTGCTATAATTTATTAAAGTGTTACAGTACCTGAAATGAAACGGTTCAATTATCCTCAACAAGCCTGAGTTACAATATATTTTGTAGAGAACAGATGTGAAAACCACTACAAAATAAAAATTAGATAATCAAACACAACTAACTAAGTGAACAAATAGCAACTAGTATGAAATAATGTCTCGCTCTTACAATCCCTAGAAATTCTATTACAATCTTTTCGCGAGTGAATGTAATTCGTAAGAGCGAAGTAATGCTAATGTCACTACTTAATACAAATGTGGTACTAGAAATATGTTTCCCTATGTCGGTCAGCACTTATAGAGGTGTTATCCTCCTAGTCAGTAGAGGAATAATTAAACATAGTCAAACCTAAGCACTTAGTATTCCATTACGACGCACAGCTCATTGTGGCTCGATGTATAATCCTTCTGAAACTAAGCATTACCACTAAAGAACTAAACATTTAAAAACACTGTACATGATCAGTACTTACTGATGATCAATTGCAGTCTTATAAATTTGACTAAGGATATTGAATTAATCCTGTTGAGGCAAAGAAAACCTATCAGATTTATCCGCGCGTAGAGACCTAAGAGTACAGATCACAGAGTTTATTTGACAATAAACATAGAGATCTAAGGTCTTTTCTTTTTGGATGAATTTTTAGGTATAAAAATTCGTAAATTTCACGATGATCAGCATAGGGCTCCAAATTCAATTTTTTCGGTACAATTACGCTAGACGACCACTGTTTTTGCTCGATGAGCAGGACAACCAACAGTCATACATCAATGATTGTTTCCTTAGTTATTACGAAGTTAAAAACTGTGATATGTAGCCGACACTTTTAAGTTCTTAGTTCATTTCCATTGGATCCTGAAACGAGTGGTAAAAACGGGTGATTTCCACAGTCTGTTAAAAATGTACGATGTGCTGAGAAAGTCCACATATATGCATACGAAGATAATTGACTGTTTCTTTGCTATATATGAATCATTTTATTGCTTGAAGAACGGCTCACTATGCTAGCAACACGAAAGACCAGTGGACACCACAGGCTTTTTGTGATACTTTTATACATACCTTTGGTAGGAACGGTTATTTAAAAAAACTGACAGACTACATCCAAGTGGAAAATGAAATGTAATGACAAACTTTAATCTATATCTAGGCCAGGTAAAAAGAACACCATCCAACATGTTATTAAGTCATAAATGTTCATACTATCAATGAAAGATGATGATAATGACTAACGATATAACTGAAGCACTCAAGTTGAAGACGGGGTAGGACACATTTGCTATGGTCAGTGATATTTTGATTAGTTATGGTTAATCTTTCAAAAAACCTGCATTCTCAAAACCTTGTATTAAACACATACGACAATAGTAAACTGCTTTTCACCGACTTTATTAGAAAAATATGAGTCCGTGAAATCGAACGAACCTGAACAAAATGCTACCGACCGTAAAACGGTTGTATAGAAGTGCATTGACAGAGGCATAAAGGAAGAGCATGGCCACCGGGTCGTTGAAAAGCCTTAAGAGGTATATTGAATGCACACGATAAGACATAATGCACATAAAAAAGAGGGCATAAGGAGGGATCTACAGTGAATTGATAAAGAAGAAGTCAATACCTGGGATGATAATCTGTATATGTTGAAAATTAGTACCAGTGTTGTTATATAAAGCCCGAGGAATACAAATTGAGCATTTCTGATCAGGGATCCACCACCTGAAAGCCAGTGCAGGAATGTATAAACATATAAATGTCCGGCAGGATATCTAGAAAAATGTTTCACTAAACAGGACTTACACACAAGGCCCAGTTTGGCCTTCCAACTTATCATAGTCTAAAGTTCCGTTTATAAATCCTCTCACTTGTTGCATATACGCAACCCAGTCAATTTCAGTATCTGAAATTTTATAAACTGATTAGACAATATTGAGAGCGACATACATGGTACTTTGTCAATGATAATGAAGCCACATAAAATCTCCAAGATAATGAAAACCGGTGATAAAACCCAGAATCCATAAGGTTTGTATAGCAATCCGTGAAGAAAGCCAACAGCACTCCTTAAAGGCATAGTAGCGTGAACATATGAATACACGCGAGACCTTGACTGCGTGTCGAAAATTTAAAACCGAAAGGTTCAGCTTCCAAATATCTATTTTACAGTATTTGTTTACCAGTGAACGATATCGCAAGTCATTCTTGCAAAACGAATAAGGTTCGTCTTTCCAGCTCATTAGGTATATAATCGTTTATTTTGCAGCCTTTTCATCGTCCTAATTTAGCATCGTTCCAAATGTTTTATGTCTTTGAATACATAAGGAAAATATATCAGTTCTAATTTCAGTTTGGAAAGGACAGGGGGCTTGTTGGTCTATGTTAGTTTGGGCCATCGTGGTCTCTCAGTTGATTCAACTTTCTTTTGAAACAGTCGACAGATGGAGCGTCAATCACGTGTTGAGGTAATGAGTCCCATTCGTTGATGATTCATTGGGAAAGTCGATGGTCAGCTGAAAAGTAATTTATCTAGGGCTTGTGAACTTTGTTGGAGAGCCCTTGTAATTTCCATTTTGACAGACAGGAAAAGTGAGGACATATCAGACGCAAATTTATCACTAAGTAATCTAAAAACAGCAAACAAGTCTCCTCTGGTTCATCGATATGGCAATGGAAACATGTTTAGTTTAGCCGATCAAGCATAATCGGAGAGCTTCTCTATCTTGAGAATCAGCTTAGTTGCGGTTTTTTGAACATTTCCTAAGAGCTCACCTTTTTTAAGACGAGGATAGCCGCTCGCATTCAACACGCAAGTTTAGGACTCACAGTGTATATACCTGTACCTTGGTGACCAATATGCATCACAATGCACTTGAAAGTATTTATCGGCAACTGCCAAGTTCGAAACCATTCACATAATTTCTCTGGATCATTTCGAAGCTCAAAGCCATCGCCTTCACTTTTTATCGCTCTCAATATCTTAACATCGTCAGCATATAACAAAACCAGTGACGATATGAGACAAGGAAGCCTATTAACATACACGCTCAATAGCACTGGTCGTTATACTGTACCCTGAAGCAATCCGCTAACCACAGTTTCCCGGCTAGACAACTTAGAGTTTACCCGTACTCTCTGTCGGCGCTCAACTAGGTAGTCTTTTATCTACATTAAAAATTTCCTCCAACCCCGACATTTTTTAACTTATACAACAGGCAGTTGTGAGAAACTTGGTCAAAGAGTTTGCTGAAGTCAATGCAGGCTGTGTCTATAGGTGACTTTTGGTCTTTAAGAGTGCACCAATTTTCACGAGCTACTAATAAGCTAGTGAGACAGTAATAATTTGTTCTCCAGCCATTCTGTTTTTGGAGGAATTGTTACGAACTGACAAGAAGATTATCTCTACAGTATATACATTGCTGAAGCAGTTTGCGAACACTTGAGCTTTACCACAGGTCGTCCCCCACTAATCATGAAGCATTACTGGCTCTTCGAAATGCTCAAATATTTCTTCTTCTCTTAGTCACTTAGTTTACATTCGAATATAAGCGTTCAGGGCACGTTATAAATTATTATCAGAAAGGGGTTTTGTGGAGAATGTGGCAATTTAACCGTTGAATTCGTGGTTCGATTAAAGCTGGACCACCATGGAAGGCCTGGAAGCGATAGATGACCGTTTCGTCTGGGTATGAAATTCCTCACCACCACCCCTCTCGTGTGATTCGAACCCAGAACCTTCGATCTCGCGCGCGAGCGTTTAACATCTAGACCACTGAGCTGGCATCCAACAGTGTTATTGTCTAACTTTCAACCAATCCACGAAATTGCGCTACCATCCACCATTGTCTTCGATGAGTTACTACCTCACAGCAGACCCGATTGAACTTCACTGATCACGGCTTCTCATCAGAACCCCAGGAAATCCATTTTGGAGCTAGTCCGTAGTGACTGACCCATGAATTCGGTCATCAAATTACCACGTTTTCCACAAAACCGCTCTGATAACAATCATCATGTTTTTGGTGAAGGCATGGCAGAAAGGTTTTGGCGGCAAAATGGTGCACCGTATTTAGGTCGTTCTGAAATAAAACCCGAAGATAATTGGTCACGTATGTCCTCGATGTTCATGCTGACTTAACTAGTTCTGCTAGTCACGCCCGCGACGAAGGCGCTAAGTTATGCGCCCACACCAAATCACGAGTAGGTACGCCGCGCAACCAATCCGTTGAAACTAAATCCAATTAGACCAGACGTTTCTCGACAAATTACCAACTTTCCAAACTTAAATACAAACTTCTTCGTTTCCGACATCTGATTTGGCTGGCTTGGTGCTGTTTGCTTATAAAGATGTTTGGGACAACTGCGTCGTCATGCCTTGGATACTGTGACATCCTTGATGATGAACCCGACGTGATCCGGTAACTTAAGCTATAAACTATGGGCCTGTTCCTTATTGAAACATTTTCTGTCACTGGCACGTTTGTTAGTGATATTTTTAGACCCTAGAGCACATAAAAAAGACCATCGTTGAACATAGAGACCTGACCGACCAGCAAAGATCAGACCAGAACTTCCACTAGATTGAAATGCAACACACCTCGGAAACAGAGATGTTGCTACATATGCGGGAGTTCATTGATCAACCAAGCTTCACTGTGAGCCTGTTTAAAAAAACTTAGTATTTAAGTTTCCCTCACAGGTGTAAGCGGTTCTCGTCTCACTCCAAATTAACGCAGAAGATGACCTACACCCTTTGCAGATCTCATTCTAGGGGTTACTATAACTTGCAACACCAACGCTTGTGCTGCAAAAGAAACGAAGACGGATGACACTGCTGATCTCTGAAATACTCACCCATCGTTTTATTATTTAACATAACCGTAGAAGCTCCAAAACTCCCAAAAGGAGACTGTTACGGAAAAGATCTGTTTCTAAACCAGAAGACAGATAACCTTGGCTGTTGTTGATAGCACATCACCTATGGTAGGTTCTCTAAATCTTTCGTCGCAAAAAGCCTTTCAGCAAACTTCCTTGCCAACATGCGTTAACAACAGCTGTAGCAGGTGGATGGAAACGTCAGTTATAATTCACTGACGTAGTGACGAATGTTTACCATTTTATCGACGCTGTCACAGAAATTATTTGTCCCTCACTCGAATACGGATTACCGACTAAGAGTTTTGATCTTTAACTTACAGGAGATAAATGGGAAATTGATTGCCAATTATGGTAAGCAATGGGCGTATATTAATGCAGTTATACGCGAAAACTCATTCACTCGATTTTTGTTGTTGCAGATGTTCCAACGCCGTAGTCTGTTTATTAACACACGCAAACTGAAGTAGAAGGCGGAAATACTAATTTATCTGTCTGTGTAAATTCTTTACTGGGTGTAGGTTACCTCAAGTCACTATTATGAATATACTCGATCCCACTATCAACGGATGCTTGATAAGTACCTCGAACTATACCAAAGGCGACCAAAATTGCAATGTATAACCAGCAGTTTTACACATCACATCGTAGGTTAACGGCTTACGACTACGATTCCATCCTAAATATTTAAACACGATGATCTAGAAACCTGTTCAGAACAATGCGCTATGGAATGATGGTAAGGTTTATGGAACAGTTGAACGATTATTACGTCAGGAGCACTGTACAAGTTCTTGTCTTGTCTTACTTTTAACGTCTCATGAACATCCGGTTTCATTTTCAGTTTTCCATATAGTGGTGCCAGAATAAATGCTTTTTCTAATATGCTGATACTTATGTATATTATTTTATAATGGAAAATCAAAAGAACATTTGTGTGCAAAGAATTTTACGCTGTTGCACGGTATATATGAGCATGTATGCTATTCTTCCACACGTTTTGCTCCCTCATACAAGCAGGAATTCATTTCGAAATGCACTCACATTCATACTTTTTTGTTTTCAGGACGACTCGAAGTGAAAAAACCCGACGAAGAATACGATGAATCGAATGTTTCATTCTACGTTTTTTATTGTTGTGTTGCACAACATGGATCCCTATATTAGAAAAAACGTGCAGTTACTCCTGAACACAGCAAATTATCAGAAGAATGTTCACCAGTAGCTCGCTTGTTTAGCTTAAACTTCTTGTAGGTCACGTATGAGGTTTATCTGTACCTTTCCAGAGGAAACCGAGCTTAGGCAATAAAAAATCTTCAAAATTAATAATCACTCGAGTCTTCGGCGTTGATGCTGACCTCGCTATTTTCAGTTGATACATCTACTGGATAGCTTAGATCAAGCGCTTCTCAACATATCTTATGCGTGCAGCAGAGTGTGTGTGAACGACAATCAATGATTTCTATTATATGTGTTCATAAACTGGAACGGAATGTCAAAAGTCATGTTTTTTGAACGAAAATTTTACAGGCAATCATGGTAATTATGCAAATTGTAAGAATTGTTGAAAAACACTAATGGTACCAGGACTAATTACAAAGAAGCTACTTTAACTACTCCCTCACACATCCGTGACTAAGTGGTAATCTGTTTAGGAACGGACAAAACTTTCACAGAACCCGCAAAGTTCAGGTATGCCTGATTTCTCTGTATGGTAGGATGCTACTGTACTGAGAAACTACTAATGCCTCTAAACGTACGCAGATGCAAAGTAGGATTATCTCTGCCCTTACCTGTTCTACTGAGTTCAGTGATTTTAAGCTACGACGACGGTGTGTGCACGGTATCTTTGTAAGCAAAGGTAATATGAGCGCTGAGTCAGATGACTCCATTTCTCAGACTTCAAGTCAGGTTAATGCATATCTTGAGTACTGCTCTTTTGTCTTCTCTAATATGAATACCACAGACAAGATAAGAGTAGAAGATGTTCAGAGACGTTTCACACGTCAACTACTAGGATGTAACTCGAATCTCGATTACACAGACAGATGTAAGCATCTATCTTTAGAACCTTTATGGCACCGTAGGCTAAAACACAATTTAATATTTCTCTACAAAGCGATATATGGGCTCTCCTTTCTAACCTCCTGCCCGACTATCACCCACGACCCAGCCTATAGACTTAGAAACAACGCATATACA